CAGCTGTAAGCACCAAAAAAATACCTCAAACATTACTGCTGCCCCCCCAAGTCAGACTCACTGGTTTAGACAGCAAAACAATTCTGATATTAAACAAAATATGAGGAGGACTTGGATGTCTGGTGACTGGGGAGGGAGAAAAAAAGCAGACTTAGGGAGAAAGGACAGAGGCTTGATTCCAGCTACATTACATAGTACATACATGTGGGATCTCTTAACACAGATGTGCAAGGGACAGTTGGGTAAGTGGGTCGGTGCTTTGAGGAGAGATTTCATATGCGGTAAGGTGTGGGAATCATTTGCATAAATATGGGAAGTAATGCCATGGGAGTGGACTCACTCAGAGAGACTGGTAGGAAAACTTATGGACCAGGCAGGAACTCTACAGAAAACCAAAAGCTAAGGGTAGCACAAAATTATTAAATAAGTATTGAATCAGCACAAAGGGAAAACAAAAGAAGTATGTATCACAGTGTCTTTTTTAGTAAGTAATTTTGGTACCCTCTATGGCCCATGTGGAGGCTAAAAGTAAATATACCATGTGAATGGAGGTAGTCAGGAATGTTAGTATGTGATGATCCATTCCCTTATTACAAAGAGTCTTAAATGCATTGTTTGCTGAATTCATCTTCTTTCTAAGCTTTCCGTGTAAAAGGAAAATAAGGTAAAATCTTAAAGAGTTACATAATTCTATTACGGTGAACTGAAAATCCTATCATGCATTGATTAGCAATATTATTTCACTACCTTGTCAGCAATGTTCAAAAACAGTACCACAAAAGAAGGCTCAGGGGAAATACAGACGCTTTGTATAGAGACATATTCTTCAGCTGTTGATAAGATGCTGCAGTGACAATTCCAGGATGAAAGAAAATGTCACGAAGCAACAGACAAAAAGAGCTTACTAGATAGAAAGCAAATCTAATAACAGGAAATAGCATTGCTTTTGGCAGGAAGGTCAGATAAGCGGGAAGATAATTTCCTACAGGTGACATGATTTCCATGGAGTCACAAAGCTAATTGTCTACAATGCCAATTATGGTGAGAAGGCTCAGACAAGGGCAAAGACCTGTCAAAACAGGACTCAACACTGAAAGGCAGCCAGACTCTTTGGATAAATACTGATTAGCTGAATACAATCTAGCTACTGTAAGAGAAACACCCGGAGCCGAAGATGGCTGGAGGTCCAATCCCAAACGATGGAGCAGTATAGCCAAACCTCTCAAGTCAGACCTACTGAGAACACAGCCTCCATCCTGGTGCGATCTGTGTTGAAAACAAGAGAAACAGACAGGGTCCCTGAAATAACCTCCCCATCTCACTCACTTGTCAGCTGGGATATTTATCACTGTGACACAGAGCCCTGTTTACCTCAGGATCCACAGGGAAGGCCCACCTCCTCCCTTCCTCTGCCAACATTTGGAAAAACGTTAACAAATGGATCTAGTTACCACAGTGGTTTGAGGCTTCTCAACGTTTTCTCCCTTCCAGCTGGAAAGATGTCCTCAGACAGCTTCACAAGCAGAGCGGCTGTCAGACTCTCGCTCTTTAATGGGCACTTACATTTAATGTCAAGCAGATGCCTGTGGAAGTCCTTGATTAAATCTGCAAACTGCACTCCAACCCAATGAAAACTTTAGGGTTGTCTCATTTCATCTTCCAAGCTTAAACCCCACACGTTTCCTCCTCAGCAAAGAACGACAGAAATGTGCATGTACAACAATGAGCATCAGTGACAAAGCATGGTACAGCAAGAGAAACATCCTCCCGTGATTGAGGGAGACGCCTCAGTTCACTACAAGTCTGTGTGAATTAGAGATCTTCCCCCAGCTTTATTCTACTCCAACACATTTAAAATCTGTAACTGTTCTGTCTAATAACTCTCTAATATAACAAGTCCTAAAAGGTTTATTTAAACTCTTCTGGTATTCTTCTATGAGCAGGACAACTAAGAGCTTTGTGTCCGATGGGATGGGTAGGATGAAAACTACAGAGCAACATAGAATCTCCCTGAACAATGCCATCGCTTCAACAGCTAGAGTTCAACCTTGTTTTTTTCTTCACCTGTTGTCTTTGGAGTCACACAGCCTCACTTTTTACAGTTAACAATCTGGAATAATCATTCTTTTTCACTGGCTACTTTTTGAAGAGTACACCATCTTTTGGTTTTTCTTTTGGGTTCCTCCTACATCATTCAACTCAAACAAGTCTGCCTTCAAGAAAACAAGCCAAAACTGTCAAGACCTGTGAAGCATGAAAAAAAATGAATAGCTTTTCCCAACCTCCCAAAGCACCAGAAAAGCATAAATTTCTTTTTTTTTTTTGTTTAAGCCTCTAACTTCTGTCCTTCTCTCTGTAGGCTTTACAAAATTTTACGTATTTTCTCTGTAAAACAGATGACAGGATATCAAATCTTATCACTAAGATGTAGAATTTGCAACTAGGACCTAAAGTAGTGGTATTCTGGGGTTTGGCTAGCTACATGTAAGACATTTGAGAAGATGACATAAATTCCTGAAATTAAAAAAAAAAAAAAAAACAAAACAAAAAACAAAAAAACAAAACACACAGGCACCGAGACACGTCTCCTTGTTTGTCCTTCTGCCTCATGAAATGAGCAAGCGAGGCAGCAACAAAAGATGGTCCCACCCACCTGTCACCTATGGAGATCTTAAGACTTCTCACTGAAATCGGTGATGAGATTGTGTCCAGCGTTCTCTTACTCTGTTACAAAAGATCCAAGCATTTGGATGCTCAACATTCTAAAGCTAACTTTAATTCTGTGGCTAAAAATAACTCCATGGAGCATCTGTTCATAACATTAAAAAAAAAAAAAACTTGGGGTTTACAGTGATAGAGAATCATTAGATTCTTGCTGAAAATTAAGTGATGATAGACTAGCTGAGGCTTCCATAGAAGAGCAGTAATTTACAGTTGAGTAAAGCTATTTTCTATTTTCTGAAGTAGATAATAAAATCCATTAAAAAAAAAAAAAACAATTGGTCAGACAGTATCTCATTTAATTGGATAACTAAATAGTCCAAGAAACGGTTGACCCAGAAGCCTCTAGTTAAGGTCTGCTGACCCCTTCAGGCTCTGCTACATGTTCCTATTTCAATTCTCTAATAAGGATGCAGCACATCATAAGATTGAAACTGTGTCACTCTGAACAATCCATTTTCTAAATACAATCTCTTTTCTGTTTAGATTCTGATTCACAAGAATAAAGGAAAAGTACTCCTTTACCAGAAGAAGAGACTCAAATAGAGAAATATTTTTCACTTTAAAATAATCCATTCTCTTAGAGTCCTGGCCCCTGTGGGAGAGTGGAGATGCAGTGAGAAATCAGGTAGTTAGAAGATGGCCTTGCTGAACACTGCTCGCACGGGCTGTGTGGCCCGCCCTTGCCATTGGTGAGACAGGGAGCTGCTGCTGCTGCAGGTCTGCGGACACTCACAGCGCTTGCTAGGTCCCACTGCTTCCACTGAGAGGAACATGAATTACCAGATTATTTAGACTTTAAATCTTCTAGCTGCAGCAATAAGGTGGAAAATGAGAGAGATGCAGAGCGCCATTCCTTACTCAATAGCCTGCCCCTTAACTGCAGAACAGCTACAGTAATCCTCAAGTTTCTCAAGTCACCATTCATTGCAGTGAGTCTGCTGCCTCCCGGGAACAGACCTTCTCCTTGCTGATAACAAACAACGAATAGGCAACACAAAAGAATAAAAGAAAAAAGGAAAAAAAAAAAAGAAAAGAAAGAAAAAGAAGAAGAAAGAAAGGAAGGGAGGGAGGGAGGGAGGAAGGAAAAGTGTCTCATCTTCAGTGGTGTGAGCTGACTGGGACAGCAGAGCGCAGACACACACACAGAGCACCTGGGGTTCACAGGCTGTGCTTGCGTGATGGCGTGCACCGGCTGCAGCATCGGCATCTGGAGGTAGGCGGCCTTTAGCCGACCTCCACAGGCGGTTCCATAGGGTGGTGGTCCCGCGCCACAGGCACCCAGGGCAGGAAGCTGTGGCTGGTATTTCTTGCACACTCTATCAGCATTCCCACTCAGACCAGAGGAAGGCTTTGCACTCCTGTGAGTTTCGGCTTCGGCGTCCCGGCCATGGCCATGTCATCAATACACTCACTCAGGGCTTTATCCACTCCTAACACACTCACTCAGGGCTTTACCCACTCCTAACACACTCACTCAGGGCTTCATCCACTCCTTACACACTCAGGGCTTCATCCACTCCTTACACACTCACTCAGGGCTTCATCTGCCCCTTACACACCCAGGGCTTCCTCTGCTCTCCACATGGATTGACCACGATGAGTATTTCAAATAAGGACGTAATGCCTAATCTGCTGTGAAAGAAGACTCTATTACACAGACATAGTCATATACATGTTGATATTTATTAACAAAAATGGTGCAAAAGAGGATTGGGCCAAAATTGAGTGAAACTTTACAAGTTGGTTGTAATTGTATTGTTGCTTGAGGACTTTCATCCTTAAGTCGTTTAACTTTCTAGGTTCCAGTAGGGACTCTTCCTTTTCATCATGTCAGACATGAGGTGGAGGCAAGTCTGCTTTCCTAATAAGTGTGTGTGCATGAGCAGCTGGGTTAGGGAGGGTAACGGAAAGGTCTGCAAAGGCTAACCTTACAGAGGACTGTGTTCCCTGGGAAGAGTGACGACAGCAGCCACATCATTTACTAAAGTAATCTTCCAGCCCCTCCAGCTCCATTTCCAGGGAGGAGTCTAGAGAGGCCAGGGCAGACGCGGCATCCCTGCTCTTCTGGACACTGGGTCTGTGCTGAGGCGTCTCTGGCTGGCTGGACTCCTTCTTGATGTCTTTGCCACCAGTTAGGACCCGCTGGCTCTCGACGAAGAACTGATTCGGATGATTCAAAGAAAAGCCGCAATCGTCCACCTGTCCGAGGAAGCAAAGGTTTACCACATGAGCACATAGCAAAGCCAGAAATAAGGCTTCAGAGGCGGTCCTCGCCCGCTCACGGCTGGAAGTGTGTGATGTGGAGCCCAGCTACTCCCACTACCCAACCAGCTCATGCAGCGGAGCTTCAGCTGAAGATCCCACACACAGCGTGTCTGGGACATGTGTACGGCCCAGAGTTCTGCAACGGCTCGGATTCCTACCCACTACCTACTCGACACGGCCCCTGACCCAAAACCGCTCGATTGTGTGTCAAACACATCGCTTTCTCCTCTGCCCTGTCCGCAGACCTTCATCAAATTCTGCGACATTCTGGACAACTCAGCCCTCCGTATCCCATGCACGCTCAATTCTTAGGGTATCCACGTCGTTCCGGTATGTGCTGATCGGTGCTCAGGATGAGAAGTAACATTCCACGGGGCCGGCTGGAAGGGCAGCTCAGTGGTAGAGCCCTTCCCCAGCATGTGAACCTAGCTTCCGGCGCCTGCCCAGCAGTGAGAAAGTTTGGGCAACACATCTGGGCACGTCTCTGTGTTGCAATGGCCATTGGCGATGCACACATCCTTAGCCCTGAGCAAGAGGCTTAGCACATTTCCAGCCAACCTTTTCAAAGTAGCATTAAAATCACTTTGACACTTGGTCCCAGGTGCCAGTGTATTTCGGAGCATACTTAGCTCGAGCATATGGAATCTCATTTGGTCAGCCTCATAAGAGGCCCAACAAGCAAGCAAGCTTACTTGATGTAACTTCTCTGCGTTAGCTTCGGACATACTGTGATCTGTCCTGTTACAGAAAAATCTTTCTAGACCTTTTCTGTGACTTAGCAGATACCTAGGAGTTTATGCTACTTTTTTTCCTCAGACACTGACTTTGAGTGTTATCTCATTTTTCTCACTACTCTGTGCCTTTAGTAATCACAGAGAACGAAGGATCAAATACTATTTATTCCTAGATGTTGATCCTAAAATTGACCAATGGAGAACAAGAACATATTTCTTACTAGCTGCAAGTCCATACTGCCTATGACATGCCAGGCGTCATAAACACACTCTCATCCATGTATTCAGCCAGAGTGTCAATAGTTTTCAGGCAACACCGCGGAGAAAGAGAGGTTAAGGATCTTGCCCAAGATTACAGTATTAAGGTTGGAGATGGGATATGAATGACTGTCCTTGGACCAAAGTCAAAGTATTGCATACATATACAATATTCACTCCTGAAAACTTTGAAGTCTTTAATGTTTTAGTGATTCCTAAATGATGCAGCATAATATAACGGGGAATTTTATCTAAAATGTGACCCTTCTTCACTTTCTTCACGCTCACCTTATGGGTTAGATTGCTACTTCCATGCAACACACAATGTAACGTGAACCTTGACCTTCTCATTTGCAGGCAGAGGTGACAACAGACACCACTTTGCTTGAGCTTTGCTTGGTTTTAAAAATATGATGTTTTCATTTGATATTTTTCAGATCAGTAACCATTATGCTATGTCTTATTTATTTATTTACTTATTTATGTGTTAAAGGTAGTATCCCTATCTGTCTTTGGCTATCTGAGCCTTGAATTTGTAATTCTCCTGCTATAGTCTCTTGAGTAGCTGAGACTCCAGGTCTGTGCCCCTGCTTTTGGCTTTTACTATTTTTAACACTTCACTCTGTCTTGAGCTCACTTGTACACAATAGGCATCAATAAATATTTACTGAGTTGAGCCCAGAACCAGCCAATCATATATTTCACACCTTACTGTATACGTGGCTCACTATATACATGCCTGTGTGATAAGCAGTAGCTTTTCAGAACACGAGAATGCACTTGACTAAAACTAAAGCTAAAGAAAATCACAGCCTTGTAATTCATAAGCTGAAAAGTCGTTTCCAGAAATAGAAAGTGGAAGGGGTCACAGATAAAGGTCCATTACTGTGGCTAGGCATATCAAAGAAGGCTTTGTGAGGAAGTGCTATTTGAGCTGGGGCTGGCTGGATGGAGAGTGCAGAAGCCCGCGTGAGGGAGGTGAGGAGTGCAGAAGCCACAGAAGCACTGAGCAGGGTGGGAGGGAACGGCCCAGGGGCAAGTGGTTCACGTGGCCTGGTATAAGAGGCACATAAGAAGCAAGGTTAGAAAGATTGGCAGGGACCAGACCTCAGAGATCCCGGAAACCCAGAGTCTGTCTAGACATAATTCTCAAGGCACAAGGAAGCTGGAATTGTAAGTCCTTAAGGAGGGAAGAGGTGATTAGATCTATATAATCTCATGGAGGATTAATCCAGACTGGTTGGAGAAAAGGAGCTGGTGCAGCTCAGTCTTAGCCCTCAGCAGGCGGACGACGAGCCAGAAAATAAAAGGGCCTTTCTGGAGAGGGAGCGGCTCCAGACTTCCTGATTCTCTAGTCCTTTAATAAGTATTTTAGTAATTTCCGTTATGTTGCTCTGTTAAATGCCTGGTTCTTTATATATAGCTTTCAGAGTTATTACCCAGATCACTAAGAAAGCAAAGCTTTGTCTTTTTAACAATGGGGCTGCTTAACTTCTAAGTGTTTCCTTGATGATTTATGATAAACTTATAATTTTCTTAACAATGGCAAAGTTTATTAGCTTTGTTATTACTTTTGATTTCACCCAGTTCCTGAAAACCTTGAGTGTTTCACAAGAAGTTCACACATTCCAATCTGAAGGCGTCACATTTCATGAACAGGAAATGAGAGACTGGAAGGACACTGCAGCCCATTTCAACTGAAGCCCTCCACATAGAGACTGGGAGACAGATACCTACAGGGGTTATATAGTTTACTTGGTCATAGAGCTAGTAAATGGGACTCATATCAATGAAAGTACAGCTGCAGTATTTACTGAGGTCAGCGCGTCAGAGAAATATTCCTACACACTGTTTCTAGAGCACTATTCACAATAGGCAAGTTCTGAAACCATCCTAGCTTTCCAGCAGCCAAGGGATGGCTGAAAGAAGATGTGGTACATACACACAACGAAATGCTGCTACGCATCATTACTGAAGTTATGTCTTTGCAGGAAAACTGCAAACAACATAACAACTGGAGATAATTGTAGTCAGCAAATTAAGCCAATCCAAGAAAGACAAACATCTACTTCTCTCTCAGTTGTGGTTCCAGGATTTTACATATGCATTAAAGTCAGGTGTGTGTCTATGGCATGAATGGAAAAATGGAAGTGCTGAGGGGAACAGAGGGGCTAACAAGAAGCTGAGAAGGGGAGAGAGACATGCAGAAGACACAGCGCCTGAAAGTGTCCTTCTGTAACACAATACCACACAGAGATGGAATTCTACAAAACCTCATACGGCCTGCTAAATTGAGGTCTTCTGGCTAGAGCCCTTACGTTTCTCTGCAGCCGTGTCAAAAGGCTTCATGCAAAGTCAAATAAACTGACAAAGAAAGTTTTAGAAAACTTGACTTTGAATATTACTTTTAAAGCTGCATTTATTTTTATTTATGTGTATGAATATTTTGCCCACATGTATGTAAGCGCCCTCAAAACGGGCAACAAATCCCCAAGAACTGGCACTACAGTTGTAGGATGTCATATGGTGCTGGGGAACAAACTTGGGTTCTCTCCAAGAATCATCAGTGTTTTTAACCACTGAGTCATCTCTACAGCCCCTTTAAAGATTATTTTTACAAAGCCTTAAAAAAATTTATACAAAAATAATCTAATATCTGGAAAAATAGTAATAAGGAAGATTTTCTTTTTCTTTTTTTTTTTTTAGTTCTAACAAAAAATCTTTTTTAAATATTTTTTTTATTTTTAAATAATTTTATACATTCACTTGTATCCCAGCTGTAGCCCTCTCCCTCTTTCCCTCCCTCATCTCCTCCCTGCCCCCTTCCGAGTCCACTGAGAGGGGGTGTTCTCCTCTCCTTCTGTCTGGCCCTAGCTTATCAGGTATCTTCAGAATGGTTGCAATGTCCTTATCTGTGGCCTAGCAAGGCTGCTCCTCCCTCAGGGGGGAGGGGAAGCTCATGAGTTCATGTCAGGAACAATTCCTGTCCTCCTTACTAGGGAACCCACTTGGATACTGAGCTACCATGGGCTATGTCTGAGCAGGGGTTGTAGGTTACATCCATGTATGGTCCTTGATTGGATAAACAGTCTCATAGAAGACCCCTGTGCTCAGATATATTTGGACCTTGTGAGGCTCCCTGTCCCCTCTAGGATATACTAATTCCTCCTTCCTTCATATGATTCCCTACACTCTGCCAAAGGTTTGGTTATGGGTCTCAACATCTGCTTTGATACACTGTTAGGTAGAGTATCAGGTGCCTTCTGTGGTAGGCTACTGTCCTGTTACTTGTTTTCTCCTCTTTCCAATGTCCATCCCCTTTGTCTTTCTAGATGAGGATTGACCATCTTACCCTTGGACCTCTTTCTTGTTTATCTTCTTTAGGTGTACATATTTTAGTATGTTTATCCTATCTTATAGGTCTATATGAGTGAGGATATACCATGTGTGTCTTTCTGCTTTTGGGATACTAATAAGGAAATTTTCTTTCTTTCTTTCTTTTTTTTTTTTTTTTTAATATGAGGGATTTTTTTAACATGTTCTTTCAAGTTCTTAAAGCTTTTAATACACCCATCATTACAGAAGATGACTGAACTATACTAAAGTCTCAGAATTCAGTGTGAGCAAGACAAAACATAGTAACCTTTCTAAATCTCACTCTTCTCATCTATGGAATGGGTATAATAATAGTGCTATCATAATGTGTTCTTATGGTAGAACACTAATGGAATATGAACTTTAAGAGTTGTAGTTCTATAAAGTCCAAAAAGAGTCAAGAAAGATAAGTCAATTAAACATGAGGCAGAGTTCCCAGAAGAAAAGTTATCATTATGCTTTTTTTCCCCACTTTAAAGAAACCCAAACTAGAAACTGTTGATTGCGTATTACAGGCATGAAAGAGAGATGGAACTGAATTTAATTAGAAGACTATACTCAACAGTTCCTTGCTTTTTACACCAAAGAGTTAACAAAGGAAGGATAGTTAACTTTAAAAAATATTCAAGGGATGTACTTTTATGAATTTCCATGTTAATACATTTACTGACCATTTACAGCAGGCTCCAGGGCCCCAAGACCGGCTGCTGACATGATCTGTGTGGTGTTCCCGGCTTTCTCTCTCAGCCCCACAGAGCCCTAATTTCTTTTGTGGTCTGGCAGCTGCTGTTGGTGTGATAAACTTTCTCGGCTGGACTGCATTTCTGAGGGAATCCTGTCTTTCCCTTTTGTTTTGAAGAAAGTGTATATGACTCCCTGTAGTCTTCTTTCAACTGCTCAGAAAAATAAACTTGGTTTGTTTGTTTAGGGAAAGGGGACAAATATAAACCTGGCCAAAAATGATAGTAAACACTCTCTAAAGTCAACTTGTAGAAAAGGAGGTTATCCCAATTGCTCATTTTGCAATTTCCAAGTGCCAGTGGCTATTTTCTTTATTACTCACCAAAACAATCTCCTTTTGATTCCCTCTCTACTTGGAAACACATGTATTGGTATGGTACCTATATCAACATTGTATTTATGAATCTCCTGTTTCTTTGTAGATGATGTTTAATTATATTTGAACATGGTATTACATTTTCATTTTTACAACTTTGTGTTACTATGACAAAACACTCAATAGAACAATTTATGAAGAGGGAAAGGTAATTCAGGCTCAGAGTTCTGAGACTTCAACACATGGTCCATTGCCTGGTGCTGCACATGCTGAGGCAGTAGATCATAAAAAAGAAACATGATAGAGCAATGACCAACATCCCAATGTCTTCAAGGGCACAATCTCCATGACTAGGCTCCCTTCCACTAGACCCCACTCCCTCAAGGCTCTCCTGTTCCCTTTGGCTGGGGATGGGTCTTTGGGGGAAGGGGTTTCGGATGTAAAGAATGTAACATATTAACCTAGAAGGTCTACAGAACTAGCAGGAATCAGGACCAGGTCAGCACAGCTGGTGACAGTGTCCTACTGGATGTATTATAAATTTTAGATTTTATCTGCAGATAAATGGAAACCCACAGATAGGTGTTTTAAAGCAGGTTAATGAAATAATCAAATGCCATTATGGTAACTACCACTCTCTGCTGTGTAAAGAAGAAAGAAGAAAGGGGTCATGTGTGTGTTCTGGGAAATGAGCTAGGAAGCTACGATGGGGTTCCAGATGAGAGATGGTGCTGTGGCTTCTAGCCTGAAATTCAAATTGCTACCTGCAAGGATGACCCCAGATCATTGGAGACACTTATGTGCATTCATACACCCGACTTAGGACTTCAGAAAAGTGCGTGATAGATTTCACAAGGCTTTTGTGGCAGTTTATATGATGGGGGAGAAATTATGCTCAACTAGTTGGAAAATAAGTCAGCAACAATATTCAAAGGGATCTATTTCTGATGAAGCCACTTTTAATTAAGACTCAGAGATTAACCTCCACGAGGCCTAGAGTTTCCACTTAGAGTGAAGGCGTGCAAGAATGCAGATAATGCGGTGCAGCAACATTCAGCCGTTTTGAGCAGGGCTCCTTAGGACCACTGAGGCCGACAGCCTTTCTTAGGCCTTGGACACCCGCCGAATCAAGCCGTTCCACGTGATGACATCACATGTGAGCCTCACAGTTCTGCCACAGCAATGTAGGGTGGAAGAACGGAAGCAATGCTGTTCTCCTATGGGATGTTCGGGTTTTAATCAGGAGGTTTTGCAATGGCAGCTTGTAATGAGGCAGCTGGTGTTACCACAGAGCCATATGGAGCTATCACAGCACTGCTGCAAATGGTATCAATTAACGAGTTCATTTTCAAAACTTGCATTTAAGTGAATTTCATCACAGAGGCCTGAGGAAAATGAACACAGAGGTTTACAGGGGAGGGAGATGGATGACAGAAAGTGAGTAATAAAAATAGATTCTATTTTTATACTATAAAAATAATAAATGGAGATATCCACATCTAAAAATCTATAGTAATAGATCTAATGAATACAAATAGCCTTATGTCATTGATTGATGTGTAGGAAAGCTACACCATTTCTATGTAAGAAAGGACTTAGATGCACATCTTCAGTAAACTAATGAAAGATTTAAAAATAAGCAATTATGGCCCTAGTTGTACTGGGCACCACAGAAGCATACTGAGGAACTCGGTGAACTGGGCATGGCTCACTTGGTACAGTGTTGGCTTATTATCCCAGCACTTAGAAGGTGGAAGCAGGGGGCTGAGGAATTCAAGGTCAAGCCTGGGCTACATAATAACTGAGGCTAGTCTGAGCTGTATTACGAAAACAAACAAAAAATAAACATGGAAGAAAGGAGGGAGGGTAAAATTTGGTATAACTCAATTTTAAACCTAATTTAAAAGTAAATTAAAGATAGATCCCAAAATTTGAATGTTTGGAGGCTTTTTACTTAAAAGCTTCACAAATGATTGAGAGCATATATGAAATTAAAACTCTCAAGCTAAGCAAGCAAAGTAAAATATTCAAATCCTAAAGGGAAGCTTCTTAAACTCAGGAAATAAACAATTCAATAGCTTCAGGAAGTCCCTGAAACTGACTAGATTCACTAGCCAACCCCACCCCCCCCAAGCATATATTAGTGATTAGCACTGCTGAGGACTCTCACTTCTCAGAGAGAAGCTGAGGTTCCTGGAAGAGACAGATAAGTCAAACTGTCTGGAGGAAGTAAAGACCAGCCAGGGTACCTAAAAAGGCTCAGACCAAATGAGCCACCTGAAAAGGATAGTCTCCAACTTGCTGAGCTGCATGCACTGTGTGCTCCAAGATTGCAGCTTTCATAAGCTTTCATCATGGTGGAGTAGGCTTTGGTGATACAGTTGTCTCTGAGTCATTTACTCCTGTCTGTAACCTCTCACTCATATTCCTGTGTAACCCTAATAAAACTCACTGGTTCACCAAAGTGATCTGTTGTTGGTTCCTTATTTGTGTGAGTGGATGTTTGTTCGCATGTGCTGAGAAGGCCAGGCATGGGACGTTACTATGGGTCCTGTCATGATCAAACTAAGCAAACTGTGTTTTTGCTTATAATTTTTTATGACAAATATTTCAATTTTATAAAAATAAGTTATATTACAACAGGAATAATAGTTTCCAATTAGATGCAGAAGTCTAGACTCATGGCGGCCCATCTCTAGCTTTATATACCCTCCTGATCAACTGAGGCATGCCGAGGAGTGACTTGGAACCACAGCTTGCCACACATAAACCACAGTTTATGAGTTAGATCAGCTAACCTCGAAAGTGCCTCAGTGTTTACTATTTTCCTGTCTACAATCACCTCAGCTGACATTCTTTCAAATCTAGTACCAAGTATAGATTATGGTTAGACTATCAGACTTTTAATAACTTAGCCAGCCCAGGTTCAAATCCAAATGCCATTCCAATAAGAACTTACCAGGCTGCTCAGCTTCCCCGTGTTCGCTAATGCATTACAATAGTACCTGGCTGTTGCTGTGGTCAAGGACCTTAGTGTTTCGCCTGATATGCTTTAAGGGTTCCACAAAGGTGGCCTCATATTATTTATCATTTTGATTATTGATAAGACAATTTTTTAAGAAAACATATAAAGAAATTCAGCAATTACATAAGTCAGAACTTTAAAAATCATCTTTTGTCAACTTAATAGAACATATAAATATAATATTTAGCACAGTATCTGATAATGAGTTGGCTCGACAAACACAGCATCTTTGTGGATACTCAGGATAGTATCACGCTCCACAGCAGTGTCCATACGTGCTCAGTGACAAACTATTTCAGAGGTGTACAGACCTCCAAAGCCTGTTCTCAGATATATGTCCTGTTAGGAACCCACATCCAAATTAATGGTTGAATGAGGAGCCAGTGGGCTGAATTTGTCCTACAGATATTTTCTGTTGGCATCCTAAAGCTGTCACTTTTGTCCACATGAACGTAGCAGGACATACATTCTTCAGTGCTCCAGAGTTTCTACCATATTTCTTCCCCTGCAGCCAATTTCACCTTCCGGGGCTATTTATCTACTAGTCACTGCAGGCCTCTTGAGCTTGTGGCTCTTACTTTCCAGATTTCAAGACCCTCTATGAAAGACAGAGCCACTCAGCACTTATCTTAGTTACCCTAAAGGACTTTCAGTACTAAGGAGGCAGGCAAGATACTCGTCACATTTCTTGATTCCCGCGCGGTTACCGATCCACAAGTAAACCACGGTTCTACGGTTCAAACAGAAGAGACCTGGGAGGCACATCAGGCTACTATCAAGCAGCAGCCACAAATACATCAAACTTTTTTCATAGAAGATGGAGAATGCCCCTGGTTCTTCTGGACAGGCACAATGAAGGTTCCAGATCTAATCAGTTCAGCAATTGGCAAACAAAGACCTATAGGTTAATTCTGACCCTCTTTATAGATCAGTAGTTATCAACCTTCCTAATGCTTTGACCCTATAATACATTCCCTCATGTGTGGTCACCCACCCCAACTACAAAACTGTTTTCGTTGCTATTTCATAACTATAATTTCGCTCAGTTATGAATCATAATGGAAACATGTGCTCCAATGGTCTTAGGCAACCCCCTGAAGGGGTGGTTCAATCCCAAAGAAGTTGTGGCCCGCAGGTTGATAACTGCTGCTTTAGACAAAGTTCTGTGAGTTCACAGCTATGTCTACATACTTTCTATGGTAGCTTTTGAAATGTAGCAGAGTTGACTAGTTGTGACAGAAATCAGAAAGCTTAAAGGTTTTGCACTCTACCTCTTTAGCAAAGAGCTCAACAGCCTTGGGTCTTGAACCTAGACACAGAGTGGTGGGTGCAGCTGCAGTTCCAAAAGCACCAAACAAAACTCAGAGTAGCAAGGCACACACAATCAGTCCATAAAGTTAATCAATTTACTTACGTTATGTGTCATCTCGAAGTACTTCTGACAGGCCAACTGGTAATGAGTCCCCTTTACTAAATCCAAAATCTAAAACACACAGGGAAGTAAGAAAGAAAGAATACAAGTTAAGTTTCTTCGAAGCCACTGCGGCCACAGCTGTTGGACTTTCCATAATCTCCATTCCAAAAAGGAAACTCAATAAATAAATTATGAGGTGTGCAGTGCTTCTGCAGCCTGGACACCACAATGATGCTGGGATTATCCAGGAGTGGTTTAGCTCAGCATTAAAACACAGATGGCAAGTGATCTTTGTGACCTGCCACCCATGGCTTTTAACACTATTACTTTGACAACAAGAGGAGAACACATCCTGGTATTTTGACTTTAATGGTTTCTGTCAGCATATCATATTGCAGGATCTTTTAAAAAATCTTGTAGCTATAAACCTAGTAATCTAACCATAGAGGCATAGAGCAATCACATACACTCTTTGGACTTATTTTCACATTACCTGTTTATACAGATGCAGCACTAAACACTGCTGTGAACCCATCAGGAAAACTGAACTAAAGTCCTCTAGAGCGCTGAGAGGCAACAATTTACCTTACATCAGATTGTCTTTTCTGTAATGAAGTCACTTCTAGCCAAGCTCAGCAAAATGTGAGCGTGAAGAAACTATTCTTAGTATCTATTAGGAACACCACCATATCTTTTGTAAATACAATTTGCCTTCCAAGTCTACTTCATACAGTCTCTTCAGAGTGTTGTAAGCGCCTGTCCTTATCAGCAGAACGCAATGGTAGCTGAAACCTGTAAAGTTTCATGGCCTTCTGCCACTCCCAAATAAAAAATATATATATTTGACCCCGTTACCAAGCACAGAAAAATGCTGGAATTAAGAGATAACCTCAAATGTAGGGAAAGGAAACTCCAGAGAAAGGTTCATTTGTACCCTCTTTCAAAAGGCAAACCTTCCTGTCACAAAAGAAATGAACACAGTCTTGAATTCCCACTGTCCCCATCACAAAACACTGCTTGATAGGTTCTGACAAAAACAAGAAAAGTACAGTTGTACTTGGGGCTTCAAGCACCAGCAAGACTTTGTTAAAGGATTGTTTTCTTTTAATTGTCTTAAATCCAAATTTTATATCACCTTCACTTAATATTTATCTGAAATATTTGTGTAAATGTCAACCTGTCACAGAACCTAGGATTCTGTCTACTTCTATAACCCATTTTTCCTCAATTAGAAAAAAAAAATGAAAAACAAATTAATTAAAAACAATGACAACAAATAAAAAATGAAGTAAAAAATTTTGTAAGTAATACCAACACTTTGAGCTTATACCCCAATGCTTTCCCACATAGCCATTAAAGCTGTGCAATGATGAACTTGTAATTAATTATGGATAAAAAACAACAGATTGACACATTTGAACTGTCATTTCAAAGAAGACTTCAAACACAAATTTAAGATTTGATGCCATAAATCACCTGAAGACGAAATTAATTCCATAAATACTGCTGAACCATAAGTTATATATTTATGTTCCTTTTAAGTAAAATTAAAACAAGGGAGTGGTGCAGTCCACAAGTGGCTGGGTCTTCTGACATGAGTAACAATCAAGGTAACAGCCCACCCCAAAGCCATGCCATACAGACCAAGCTGACCCAGATCACCCTACATTAAACCACCCAGCACAGGTGAGAACACATGGAAAAGGTTATCGACAACTAAGACACAGAATATGAAAACTGCAGACTTCACTGGAAAGGCTAGGTGTTTTCTGTTTGTCTGTTTTTAATTAAATTCAAATTAAGAACCCAGGTATCTTTAGCACCGCCCTACAGACAGAACTCTTCTTTTTTTTTTTTTTTTTTATTTATTCACTTTGCATCCCAGCTGTAGCCCCCTCCCTCAGCCCCTCCTAACCCCACCCTCCCTCCCTCTTCTCTCTTGCCCCTTCCCCAGTCCACTGATAGGGGAGGTCCTCCTCCCCTTCCATCTGACCGTAACCTATCAGGTATCATCAGGACTGGCTGCATTGTCTTCCATTGTGGCCTGGTACATCTGCACTTAAAAATATTTTGGTTTGAAATAACTCACCCATCTATTTTAAAAGAACCTTACTAATCACACCATAGCATATTTGAGATGAGCAAAAGATATGTATAACCATAAAGTTATGACAGAAACAAAGACAATATTTTCTTTTCTGGCAAGAACAACTAACAAATTAGAATAACAGCGATGAAGCAGAGGAAGTGAAAAAAAAATACATGGAAGAAAAAAAGGGAACCAAGGAGAATTCCAAGAGGCTGATTAGGCAGCACTGTCAGGTTCTATCTTCATTTCAGACAAGAAATTCATCCTGTTAAAATAAAGTTGCTGGGAGGTCTCATTAGGGACAGGATCAGTTTTAAAAAGAATTAAGAAATCATGTGCAGCTTAATCTAACTTCCCATAGAGGAATACAGAAACAGCGTATATGTTTTCAAATTAAACAAAAAATGTGAAAGGACCTGAGAACACAGTTATTAGGAGTCCAGATTATGAGACAGATTTGCTCTCAGCCCAGGGGAAAGGAGAACTGACTTTCTCCTATGTGAGACTCACAAGTGTAAAGGGCAGACTAGAGACAGGAGGCATTTCACCAGCCTCTGTGGCTGGCTGTGGATCCCACCAGATGAGAGAAGAGGCGGTGGGACACCAAAGCGTTCCCTAACAGGCAGACAGTTTCCTAAGGAGTGGAAACTTTTCATGGTACTTTACATGAAAACGCCCAGCCAGCATCTGTCCTGATGCCTCACAGCAGTACTCTACACATCACTCGCGCAGACACACCCTTTTTCTCAAACCGTTTCCTAAATATGAGCTAGGTTGTATTTTTTATTTATTTATTTGGTGTTCGTTTGTTTGTTTGTTTGAGACACGGTTTCTCTGTATAGCCGTGGCTGTCCTGGAACTCGCTCTGTAGACCAGGCTGGCCTTGAACTCACAGAGATCCACCTGCCTCTGCCTCCCTGCGTGCTGTGATTACAGGCATGCACCATAACAGAGGGCTCTGAACTAGGTTTTTTAAAACAATTTTTTTTTTCTAAAAGAATGATTTGAACACTTCAACAACAGGGCTCGAGCACATATAAAATCTTTCCATTTTCATTTATTAAATGTAGAAACTCTTGTGTTTCACTGTGACAGTTGACAGATGTACATAACAAACTCTGGTCATCTTTAGTCCCTTAATATCCTATCCCACCTGTCTCCCACTGCTCTCCTTCCGCTACCTCTAGACCCTCCTTCATCTTTCACATACTAGCTGCACTGTTCTTTTAATTATTACTGTTATATGTACATACACATAAGTTGAACAATACAACCTGCTGAGCCCGTTTACTGCTGCTTGTGTGTATATGCTTTTAGAAATGATGCTTCCTGTTGGATAAACCAGTAGGGGCTTATCACTAGCTGGTTTATCCAGTTACTTTACCCAGAATCAGGAGACTGATTCTCCCTCTCTCTGTAGCCACTGACTACTTGGACCTCTTTGTCTACACATGGAGAGGGGTGGAGCCTTTCAAGACCGCCCTCACCACTGTTGGTGTGTCAGCTGCTGCTGTCATTGTTAGGTCTGGGTTAGATAGCCACGCTGCCAAGGTTTCACAGGTGCGGTTTCCCTGCCCTACACAGAGGACACAGATTCTCCGCTCACTTCCTGGGCTTGTGGCTTTTACAATTTTTTTTTTACCCCTCTTAAGGGAAGTGGACATGAGAATACATTTTAAAAAAAATGATTCAGCTGTTTCTTAAATGTTGGCATTTATTTCTCATATAAAATAAATTAAAAATACCATATATGAGTCTAAACGTGGCTAGTTGAGGTTTCTTTCGTGTGTGTGTGTGTGTGTGTGTGTGTGTGTGTGTGTGTGTGTGTGTAGGCACGTGAAATAAGTTATGGCTCGTAGAGCTGGAATGCTAACACCTTGTATAGACCCACTTTGCTGACTTCAGAAATTTAACAAGGGATCCTGAATTGCCAGCGTTTGCCTATGCAGTACAACAACGTAGGCTTGCTCTTGACAGTGTTGACTTTTTCTGATATGCACATCACTATTAAGCATCATATTAAGACAGTCTACAGATGAGCACTGATGCAACTTGCTTGTGGACAGAATGACTTCAAGGCTGGAGATACAAAGTTAGAAATGGAAAGGAAAACCAAGATGTGCCCCAAATACTCTAAGTTTGTGACACTCTGAGAACACAATTTGGGTCAGAATCAGAGCGTTCCTAAAGGAAGGAACTGAGAAAGATGATGCAGTCAGGCACAGTACTTCTTAACAGTGTTGTTTTTCAATCAGGAAGTTTCAGGACCAGACGTCGCTCCCTGCATTAGTGTACTTCGTGTTGCTGTAACAGAATGCTCAAAATTGGGTGATTTAGTAGAGGTTGATTGGCTCACAATTTTGAAGGACAAAGGTCCAAGATAGTGAAGTCACATCAGTTTGGATTCTATTGAGGATGGCAGAAAAGGAAGAAAACTATCATCTGGCAAGAAAGGAACCCGGAAAGATTCAAAAGTCATAGCAGCCCAATCTCATGGGGACCTGAGAACTATTTGTTGGTCCTTATGAGAGGATGCCTACCTGCCTTCACTAAACTGGATTCACTAAGCTTGTACAAACACGGAAACCGTATGCATACCATGTACTTCCAAGGATGTTAGGAGAGATGAGATTGGCCCAGAGTAAGGATCTGAAACAGAATGGGTCAAACAGACCACATAACGGTGGACACTCATGTAAAGAAGGCATAAAGCAAACAGAAAGAAACGTGAGCAACATGGGGAAAGTGTGGAAAGCCGGAGAAAGAAAGAAAAGGGTGCAGTCTGCAGCCTGGTGCTCCTGGTGCTCCTGCGGCTGCTGGAGCTCCCGAGGGTCCTTCAACAGCTGTGACAAGGACTCTCCAGTCTTCCACCTCCATTCTGAAAGACCTCAGTGAACACTGCTCCCTCTTGCAGACAGCACCAATTCCAAAGAGCAGCTCCCCTAAGAGCAGAAGGAAATAAACCACACGCATCTCTGAT